CGATGCTCATGATACAGGTCACTGGTTTGTCTCTTCCAGACTCGAACTGAAAAGGCCGAACTGGACAGGCAGGTAAGCAAGAAAGCAAACAAACAGAGACACCATGAGTGAGTGAGTGAGTTTGATTTTACTCTGTGTTTAGCAATATTCAAGCAATATCACGGCGGGGGACTTCAGAAATGGGCTTCACACATTTTACCCATTTGGGGAATCGAACCCGGGACTTCGGCATGACGAGCGAACGCTTTAACCTCTAGGCTACCCCACCGCCCCAGAAACACCATGATGAGTCACTGCAAGACAGTAGCGCTCAAATGACAATCTGAGACTTGACTCATTCCGAATGATTGCTAAGATCTCCACAAAATCGGACTGTATCATTTCACGATTATGGAAATTACACAGACAAACTGCATTATCGAGGTACTGATAAACCACCTCAGACAGTAAAGAACCATATGCATAAAGATCACAGCGTCAAGTGACAGATGTGAATAGCCATCGCGTACAACCATTGCATTCCTGGAGGCGATCGAGATACTGCACTGCGTTAATCGGCTGCATGGATCAGAATGGGTCGGCAAATGACATTAAGATAAACCACTAATCTCAGAAACGTGTAAGATCAGAGTTGTCCCTGGGTCTGGCAGCTGCTTCTCCCAGAGGATCCATGGTGGAACTCGCCTTCAGCTGCCCACGCTTCAGTCTGTCTATTGGTCTCGGAGAATGCATTAAAAATGAATCCAACTCATTTTTACAATGATTTGGCAACTCTCGATCGTTCCATCTCTGTGGCTGAGCGGAAGCGTTCTAGTTTTTATTTGGATTATGATTCATATTGTTTATCATCTTTCAGTGGCATTTAGAAGCTGGTTTGATGAAGAGGAACAATTAATATTTTGTAGTTATATGTTTTTAAATCAAATAACTTTCTTTGACTAAATGTTAAAAGTCGACAAACAGAGGTGTGAAGTTAGAATTGGTCTTCAGTAACCCATGCTTGTCGTAAAAGTCGACCAACGCGATCGGGTGGTCAGGCTCGCTGACTTGGTTGACACGTGTCATCATATCCCAATTGCGTAGATCGATGCTCATGAAGTTGATCACTGGATTGTTTGGTCCAGACTCGATTATATACAGACCGACGCCATATAGCTGGAATATTGCTGAGTGCGGCGTTAAAAACCAACAAATCAACCCAACTGCGCAGATCGTTGTCTGTGATGTCAATCACGGGATTGTCTTTTCCAGACTCGATTAGTTACATACGGCTGGAATGTTACTAAATACGGCGTTCAACAACACACAAAAAGTCACTTAATTGTCTGGTCCAGACTCGATTACTTCACAGACGCCGTCATATGGCTGGAATATTTTGCTGATTGTCTCTGTAAAGAACATGTGTACCTCCGCCACGATATTGCTGGAATATTGCTGGAATTTTGCTGGAATATTGCTAAAAGAGGCGTAAAACCATACTCATTCACTGTAAAGTGAGTGAGTGAGTATGGTTTTACGCCGCTTTTTAGCAATATTCCAGCAATATCACGACGGGGGACACCAGAAATGGGAGTCACACATTGTACCCAGGTGGGGAATCGAACCCGGGTCTTCGGCGTGACGAGCCAATGCTTTAACCACTAGGCTACCCCACCGCCCCTCACTCACTGTAAAGAACAAACACTGGCGTGACACTATGATCAGAGACAAGTCGCGGCTTTCACAACAATACTGAGTCATTACTGCAACAACGACGATCGATATGGTGGTGGACGACATGCGTGGGCAGACATCGCCTGCAGCGACAGAACCGATCTCATCCTCGTGACAAATTCTGGGTTAATCTGTAAAAGCGTATTCCAAGCGCCTGAGTTTATCGGGAGATAATGCTCGGAGAATCTGTTGATTTCTGCCATCGCACACCAGATGTGCATTGTTGCTCATGATATCAGTCACTGGATTGTCTGGTCAATACTCGATTAATTACATGAGAATATTGCTAAATACGACAACAAACAAACAACAACAAACAAACAGTCACTTGATCGTGTGGTCAAGATTAGGATATTTAATAGACGCTGTCATAAAACCGGAATGTTGAAGACTGTTACGTTAACAGTGAGTGAGTTTTTACTCCGCTTTTAGCAATATTCCGTCAATATCACTGAGAGGGAAACGGGCTTCAGACATTGTACCCATATGGGGAATCAAACCCGGGTCTTTGGTGTGACGAGCGAACGTTTTAACCACTAGGCTACCCCATTTTCCCCTCTACCCTCTCAACAAATGAGCAAGTTTTAAGATCGCCATCATAAATCTTGGATATCTCAGACAGCAGCGTTGAAGAACAATCAATAACAAATATACGTCTTGATATCTGACCTCCGAATCTCCGGCGTTGACCAGTAAACAATCCCTGTACTCGTCTTCATATAGCTGGAACATTAAACAGCGTTAAACAACTTATATCAACATAAGAAGATTCTTTCTTACAATAGTGCTTTGCTAACATGAACAGCAACAGAAAAACGAGATAGGATATCTTGTTTTACGCCGCATACTCAAACGATATTAATTAACAATGTGTTTTCATAGTTCTCGTTTTACGAATTTGACAAACACACGGGAAGATTGCCCGCAATGCGTTGACAAGTTAAGAGATTTTATGTACGCTTCTAATGGATACCATCCTGACTCCATGCTGTAGTTTTGGTAGTGATGATGCCTGGTCGAGTTGCTCGTTTGTTGATTAACTGTAAATAATCGAGTCAGGATCAGACAATCCAGTGATTAACATCATGCGCATTGATCTACGAAACTGGGATACGATGACATGTGTCAACCAAGCCAGCGAGAATGAGCACCGGGTCCGTTTAGTCGGCTCTCACCACAAGAATGGGTTGCTGAAGATCAATTCTAGCCAGGATTTTCAGAGGGTTAGAAATTGTTACATCGTTTCAAGGTCTCGGTAAAGTTTTCATTTTTTTTAAGGAGTACTTTTGAAAATAAGTACCCAATTCTAAACCGGATCTTCAATTTGGAGTTATATCAATGCTGTAAAATTAGTCCGTTTTACCTAAAACATAGAATACTCACAATGCAGTACGAATAGTTTATAGAATCAAGGTGGTTATATCAAATTAAAGTTATATCACTTAGTTGTATCCGAAATTCTCCCTGATAATACAATGAATAGCTGGTGAACGAATGAGTGATTATTGTCCAACGCCGCTGCCAGCACACTTTTCGTCTGCATGGAGAGTGAGTGAGTTTTGGTTTTACGCAACTTTTAGCAATACTCCAGCTATATCACAGCGGGGACACTATAAATGGGCTTCACACATTGTACCCATGTTGGGAGTCGAACCCTGGTCTTCGGCATGAAGAACGTACGCTTTAACCACATGGCTACCCCACCACCACTTGTCTGTATGGACTAGGTGGGCCAGTGTCTAGTTCGATGCAAAAAATCGGTATATACCATGACGCACAGTCTGCTAAGCGATAAAATGAAATCCTATGTTATAAATGGCATAGTTCGTCATTTGATTAGCTGCCTGGCAAAAGAAAAGTGTGTAGACATTTTAATATTGGATTTGACCAAAAATATAAACATTATTCAAATGATCCTTAACCAAAAACCATTGCCGAATAACTTTTTATTAAAGATCCAAACCACAAAGTTGTATGGGTGAGTGAGTGAGTGAGTGAGTGGGTAATTAAAGGTCCAAAACTCAACCATGATACATGTATTAAATACATCATCGTCACATTTGTTGTATCATAGTTAGCCAGGATGAGAGTGATCTGTTTCAACATGACCACGCTCGACCCCACACGCTTGTGTAACAGGTGCCTATCTCGCCAGTGTCCTTCTCTGGCCTTCCAAATCGTCTGATCTCAACCAATCTATGGGACGAACTTGACTGACGCGTCCGTAAACGTCTCCATCGTCCTCAGACACTTGCAGAACTTGCCAACGCATTGCAGGAGGAATGGTGAAGAATTCCCCAAGCAAAAATCCGACGACTTGTGCAATCCCTTCCAAGGCGGTGTCGAGCTGTGACAGCTGCAAGGGGTGGTGTCACCAGGTACTGACCTGAACGCCCCCTTGTGTCCACACATGTGCAGTGAGTGAACTGACTTAATGCTGACAATGACAACAATACATATGTTCACCTCTGTGTTGAATTTCATTCATCTATGTTCAAGCTTAATCGTCTTATGTATATGTAAATACGGTTAATACATTTCCTTATTGTTGGCCTATGCATTTCTATTTTTGAAGAGTGTATGTATTGGTTTTACTAAACTGACGTCAAAAAGAAAGTACACACCTAGTGTGTTGGAATTATTTTCAAAACAGAGCTTAAATATTTTGAAAAGGTTTTTCGTTTGTGACCTACAAATCAAGTTACAAACATTGTGTGCGTATTACGTTGTTTTTGGAAAATAATCCCAAAACATCAGGTGTATAGTTTCTTTTGTACATCAGTTTACTTGGAACTGAAAAAAATATCACAAAGGTCTGTTTGATGTGAAAGATATCAAGGTAATCTGCTCGCTGTAGTGCCACTGAAGATGAAAACTATTTTTTTCTATTGTCAAATATATGACAAAAAATTATGGGGAAAGTCGAGGCACAAGTACATCGCTTAAACAGGATATGTAATCCGTTTGGAAGTATTCGTGATGATAATATCTAAGTTAATGTGCTATAAATGATACTGTTATGATTGGAAAGGTAAGGTTTTGAAATGTAACAATTGATTAATTAATCACAAAATGAATTAATTGTTTCGATGCTGATACTGGATGGATGTGAGTGAGTGAGTGAGTGAGTAGGTTGTTAGGTTATGTCACGACGTTCACAGTGACGATGTTCGGAGACTTTGACTACGCCTTGGGGCACCAACAAACACGTGTATGGTGCAGACTGGGATTCGAACCCAGACAACCTAATTCTTGAGAGCCTAACAGTTTACAATACCCGACACAACTATGTTTTCATCTACAATTTTTTATTGCTACGAAGATATTGATAATAACATAGGTACCCTATACATGAGCACTTAACAAAATATATATGCACGATATGGGCGAATGATCTTTACAAAAGGCGCTCGAACATGACTATTAAATGTCCTTTGACCTGACATCGAAGCATGGTATATCAAAACAATGTCATAAATCATTTCAACCCACAAAGAAACATATCTGAACCTCAGATTATATTTCTTTTTACTGGCGTTCATAGTCTAATTTAATTCAAAGCAGGCACCCTCTATTTAAGAAAAAAGAAAGAAAGAAATTTCAAACACTACAATGACGCCGGAATTCGTGACTTCTTTTACAACAATTACGACACTACTCGAGTCTCTCCGTAATGTACCATCTTCTCCCGGAAGGACACGAAAGTTTGGTCGTGTTCAGCGGGAAGGGGAGTAACTCTGTTTGACACTTCCGCTTCACACACATTTGCTCCGTTTGCAGGAGCCGCAGCAGTTGGGGTAGAAGTAACCTCTACTACAAATCGAACAATCCTTCTTTGCACCTTCGCCAATTTTTGACTCGCAGGACGACCCCGAATACTTGTTGTCAAACCGACAATCTGAAACAGACGCGAACGTATCTCAACATGGTTAGGGATTGGCTACTTAAGAAAGGCGAGTGGTGGTTGCTTTGGTGTTTTGTCAGGACCGTATCATAGACTGCGGTCTCAGCAACTACTAGGACTTCAGCATCTACTGTGAAGGCTGTTTATACACACACTACGTAACATATATGTACATCTAACCAACCATGTGCAACTGTTTTGCTGAACACTCATGTGCAAGTGCTGCACTAACCAACCATGTGCAACTGGTTTGCTGAACACTCATGTGCAACTGCTGCACTAACCAACCATGTGTAACTGGTTTGCTGAACACTCATGTGCAACTGCTGCACTAACCAACCATGTGTAACTGGTTTGCTGAACACTCATGTGCAACTGCACTCACGAACCATGTGTAACTGGTTTGCTGAACACTCATGTGCAAGTGCTGCACTAACCAACCATGTGCAACTGGTTTGCTGAACTCTCATGTGCAACTGCTGCATTAACCAAGGATGTTTAACTGCTCATCTAACCAATCATGTGCAACTGGTCCATAACCAACCATGTGCAACTGGTCCTCTAGCCAAGCATGTGTAACTGGTCTTCTAACCAACCGCATGCAGTTGGTCCTCTAACCAAGCATGTGCACCTGTTCCTCTAATCAACCACGTACAACTGTTCCTCTAACCAACCATGTGCAACTGTTCCTCTAACCAACCATGTGCAACTGTTCCTCTAACCAACCATGTGCAACTGGTCCTCTAACCAACCATGTGTAACTGGTCCTCTAACCAACCATGTGTAACTGGTCCTATAACCAACCATGTGTAACTGGTCCTATAACCAAACATGTGTAACTGGTCCTCTAACCAACAATGTGTAACTGGTACTCCAACCAGGAAAGTGAAAACTGTCACTTTAAGCAAGCATGTGCAACTGATTAGCTAACCGACCATGCGCAACTGGTCCTCTAACCAACCATGTGCAACTTCTTCTATTGCTCACCGTCTGGTAAGCTGTATTTCTCTTTAAGCTTGCTCAGCCAATTATTGCAGAAACCCAAGCATCCCTCGTCCTTTTTTTTCAAGTAATAATTGCAATCTTTCGGCCACAGGGTCTGGTAGTGATTCCGTAAATAGCAATCATCAGCTGGAAGAGAAAACACAATGAAGTTAATTCAATGGAAGTATGGGTTGTGATAAAGACTCTATGTATGGCCGGCAAAGATTCATCATATCTTACCATTGATACGAATTCCAATACCAGTAACACACGTGATCGTGTATTGATGCAAAACATTGAATCCAAAAATACATTAACGATGGGTATGATACCATTTGGTACAAATCATTGATGTCGATTTATAAAATACAAATGTATAGCAACAACGCCGAAATGCATAAGACAAATGTAACCATAGAGACATACCCGTGATTTGCGGTGAAAGCTTAATGGTGTGGGTGGAGGTATACCACAAAAGTAGAACTAACCTAGCCAAAGTACAAGTCATCGTAACTCCTATCTTATTTATGCCGGGCCGAAGTCCAGTGAAATATAAAGTCAGCAGTTGTTCTGTTTGTAATATGTTATCACTCATGAACACACTAATATCGAATCTTTTGTCGGGAATATGTGTTTCTTATTTCGGGAATATGTGTTAATTTTAAAAAAGTATTTAATAATGTCATCATGGATTTACTATCTTTCAGTCAAAACTGTTTCAATCGTTTAGGATCTGTTTGTACAAAATGACCATTGTGTCCACCGAATACAAACGTTTCGCCCCATTTTACGATCCAATCAATTCCAAACGTACAGTGTAATTTGATTTACGGCATTGTTAAAAGCCTTGTCATTGAAAACACATTCAGAATCGGATTGAAGTTATGATAGGTCCATCGTATGCATCACAATGGATATATAATACACTGAGAGCAGATGATGAAAAACAAGCCTGCGCTGGCGTAAGGTCCTGTGCATAGAGCTCAGATCACAAATCAGTTAAAGATAAGCAGCTTTGAGCGCGGAGGGTCATTAGATGAGTGGACGTGTTTGGTAGCTTGACTCTGGAGAGTTTCTCGGACTTCTATGCTGCCCCATAACGAAGCACATGTGATATATGTGGTCTCACCTCAGGCAAGTGAGTTTGTTCAAAGTTGCCTCCGTTCACCAAACAGAAAATGGGTACCCGGTGGGATAAGTAATGTGACTATTAATCTTCCAGCGTCTCACAGACAGCTTGGATTATGCTGATTGTGCGCTTCGAGCAGGATATTAATCCTGGATAGGGGCGTTATAAATACTCTGCACTCTTATTAAGGCTGCGCTGAAGTAGCGTTGTTGATAGCTGAACGTACCCATCGTGCTCCATTTTTCTCAACAGAATGAATTAAAAAAACCACTGCATAACCCAGGATGGAAAACAGAAGGCTGTTGTTAGCAGCTGAAACTACCTATCGTGCTTAGTGGTGGTTTGGTATCAAACCAGTCCTCATCCTTCGAATCTCTCTTCTGCAGGAAGTCCACCAACCGTCTATACGGGGAGTCTAAAATAGAAGAGTCAAAATAAATTAACAAGATGACATACAGTGCCGTGCAAAAACAGGTATACGCCTATATTTGATGACTTAAAAATATAATACACAGAAATGGTTATTCAATGGTGAGTGGTGAGTGAGTGAGAAAGCATTGACGCCGCTTTTAGCAATATTCGAGCACTATCACGGTGGGAGACAGCAGAAATGGGCTTCAGACATTGTACCCATTTGGGGAATCGAACCCGGGTTTTCGCCGTTACGAGCCCACGCTTTAACCATTGGGCTACCCAGCCGCCCCTTATTCAATGGTGATGTATATAATGTGCCGTTGTTTTAAGGGGCTAGTGTTTGAAGTGTTTAGGAATCTGTTTTCAGCCTGACGTTTGGGGCATATACATTTTTCAAGCGTATATTTTCTTTCGCCTGATGCGTTCATTGTGTTCAGTATATATTGGAGAAGACAGAACTAGTATGTTTCGTCATAGGTTTTTATGGCGTCCACGCCGAAAACCAGGGTTCAATTCCCCACATGGGTACAATGTGTGAAGTCCATTTCTGGAGTCCCCTGCCGTCATATTGGTGGAATATTGTTAAAAGCGGCTCAAAACCCAAATCACTCACTCATAGCTTCAATATATCTTGTCTAATGTCCTCGCTAATGTTATTGTGTGCGTGTGAGTTGGGTTTTACGCCACATTCAGCAATATTCCAGCAATATCACGGCAGGGGACACAAGAAATGGGCTTCGCACATTGCACCCATGTGGGGAATCGAACCCGGATCTTTGTTGTGACGAGCGAACGCTTTAACCATGAGGCTACCCCACCGCCCCTCGCTAAAGTTACTCAATGAATGTTTTAATGAAAGAATAATACTGAAGTAAAAAAAGACATTCGCACATGCTATACCATCGTCATATTCACGTTCCGAGGGTTCATCGTCGTCGGCGTCGTCAGGGCTCAGCAACGTCCTCAGCTGCGTTAATAAGCGCTCCTCTTTATTCTCCTTTAGTTCTCGCTCTGCCTCCTCGGCGTCCATATCTGAAAAGCCACCAACATATTGATAGACTTCAACCTCCGCTTAGTCTGTCTCGCACATTTCGTCCTATACCGAATAACTTGATATTAACCTGCCTGGTAGGTAACCGAAGATAACTCATACTTGTTCCCCATGAAGATCAGGGTTAGAATTGATCTTCAGTAACCCATGCTTGTCCAAATTGGAGTTGGGCAGATATCAAATGTCTGTTAATTATTTTAGCCGTTGTATCAGGTACTGGTGTAGACTATAGTCTGTTTGCAGTGAAAACGTACCGATGAATGTCAATTTAAACAAAAAAGTAAATCGAATAAGATGAAATTAATGTTGCGAATCCTCATAATTTTACCTTGCCAACTGAACATTTAAATCTCAGAAATTTATTCAACTTAGGATAAAAGTTGTTCAACAAACGATCATAGATTCAAATGTCTGTTATTGGTTTGTATTACAAGGGTCTATGCACATTGAATGAAACACCGAAAACAAGTAGAGTTGGTCTAAGTTAACGCTCAGCACGAACCGCACGTGCATTTGTTTCACTGTTGCAACTACCATGACTACAGCTCTTGCCCCCTTGTAATACAAACCAATAATAGCGATTTGAATGTGGATTCGCAGTCTTAATTTCACTTTATTTGATTTACTTTTGAAGTGAAATTCATCGGTACGTTTTCACTGCAAACAGACTAGTGAGAATGAGTAGCCATAGGTATCCTCGAGCTTGTTATGAAATGCTTAAAGTCTTAATGAAAATGGAAATGTCAACTGGGTCTCTAATGTTCGTTCACTATTGTTTAAATTTGGATTCTCTTTTGTGTGGATTACACAAGACTTTGGCGACGTAGATGTATTTATGACAACGTTTAAGCAACGCTGCAAGCATATCTGTTTCCAAACGTGATATTGGTAGTAGTTCCTTTCTTAAAATTTATTCACCGTACAAGACAGTTTTGGAAACAGAAGTGTATATAACAGCGTTGTACACTAATAGAGACTTGAGGCGCATTTTATGTAAATTTCGTTGCTTATCGCACAAATTGGGTGTCCAACAGTTGCTTTTCAATAAAGACAATGTAGACGATACTATAGCAATATGTAGCAAGTGTCATTTTGATGTCGTAGAAGATGAATACCACTTTCTATTAGTATGTCCTTACTACCATACAAGTAGGATGCAACTTATTCCCGGGTATTATCATATACATCCAGTTGCATTTAAGTTTAAGCAGTTGTTATGTACAAAAAATATGAATGTGTTTAAAAGCCTAGCAATCTATCTGAAGAGAAATCTACCTGTCTGACTGCTATCTATTGATGCATTATGTTTATGTGTCTGTATTGTATGCGCACAAACAAACAAACAAACATGTATTTTTTGTACTCTGGGCCATGAGGCCATTAAGCGAATAATCTCTCCCTCGCTTTCGATCTCGCTATCGCTCTCTCTCTCGCTCTCTCTCTCGCTCTCGCTCTCTCTCCCTCGCTCGCTTGTCGCAAAAGGGTGGTCAGGTTCGCTGACTTGGTTGACACATGTCATCGTATCCCAGTTGTGCAGATCGATGCTCATGCTGTTGATCGCTGGATTGTCTGGTCCAGGCTCGATTATTTACAGACCGACGCCATATAGCTGGAATATTGCTGAGTGCGGCGTAAAACTAAACGCACTCACTCACTCATGCATCTAGAAATTGTCAGGTCTGAACCAGGAAAACCATTGTCTGAAAGCATGAGAAGCGATCAACCGAATGAGTCCGGTCACCCAGTAGCTCCACCCGATTTATAATAGTCCACTCGTATAGGTTACTCGGCCACGTTTCACAAAGTGATTTTAGCGTAAAGGCGATCATAACACTACAACCACGTTGTTCTGCAGACTAAATAGTCGCAACATTGAGATTGCTTTATGGAACGAGATTTTGTTGATCATTCGAATACAACGAATCTCAGGAATCCACATTTTATAAAAAAAGTGAACAAAAATATTTAAGAAATGCAATCGAGAAAAATTCAGCAATTTTGACGCCTTCTCAAACGCGATACCCCAGATATCACTTAGTTCCAGAAATCATTGTGGATAACGAAGTATTTTACGGCCGCATTAAGGACATATCTTAAAAATTCTCACGGTGATCGCCTAGGAGATAAACATCATGTGTTCGCCAATTTCCGGGTGTTACTGAGTATTTGAAGCACGGGAATTTATTTGAGACGCCGTCGGTTCCAAATGAATTCCCGTGCTTCAAATACTCAATAACACCCGGAAATTGGCCAACATATGATGTTTATCGACACTGTAAACACAAAAGTAAACCAAAAGGTCCACACACGTTTTTGTGTCTGCACTCATTGACATCGAGTACATCGTCATCAGTACGGGTTCGGCTGTCTCCATGGTACCAAATGTCATTTGTGACGTCATTCCGTTTACGGCAATGTCTCATCAAAGCTGACGACGTATACAATTAGTACCATCTGGAACTGCTTTACATTTGTGACGTCATTCCGACTTTACGTCATGGCGACTAAATTTCAATTGGAACCGATTTCAATTGAAATATTTATCGCCATCAATCATCACCCATTTAAAATCGAACTTCCTCGCTCTGCGGAAGACACTGCGTAATCCGGCATGGGGCGAGAGGCGAATTGAACTCGTCTGTGAAGGGAGCGGTAGATGCCGTTCTTTACAACCTAACAATATTCTGTCCAAAGAAATCAAACTACTGTTTATTCAATGCAATTAGGTAATACCCGAGATCTTGTTTTTCCCCATCCCAACTCCACACGACTAAAACCAGCCTATTGTTTTGTGTGCCGTGAAACTGTACCCCCCTGGCCACACTATAATGGAATCGTCTGACCTACTTATTTTCTTGGAAGTAGACAGTTACGCAACAGTTTAAAATGGCGGACGAGCCAGTGTTGTTTACATTTTGCGAAAGGTTGAAATTTGAAGTGACAGTGGACAATACTTGACTGACAGTTGAATCTGAACCCTGCAGAATCGAAGAATAGATCCTTTCCTGATCAACCTACGACCTGTAACTCATCAAAGACTGTTGATTTTTATGACCGGCCGATCATGATTTCACGTACTGCCTCCACCCCGGCATGCGACAAAAGAGTGACAGTACTGCTGCTTATTGTACATGCGACTAACTTGTGATTCCTTGGAACTTTGTTTTCATCGTTTGGGACTGGACTGTGTCCAAGCGTTTTTCAAAGTAGATGAACATAACAGTGACAACCTTGCGGGGAAACTGGCAGAGAGCAGAATTATTTTGTGAACGATGTAACGGGATATGATGGAGTATGACTATGAGTGGCATAAATGTGGTGTTTCGCCAGACCGTTAGATCTATCTTGCAAATTTCCCATTCTAAACGGAATTAAATATACCATTTACCAGGTAGGTAAATATTTACCAGGTAGGTAAATGTTTACTAATGTTTTGCTGCATATTTTGTATAAATAGGGATGTATTTTTACAAGGCTTTCTGATTTATTTGTTAGATATTGTTTTGTTTATGTTTGGGGCTGTGTATTGTAATTGAGTTTGAATATTTTTATAATAGAAGGTAATATGATAGTGAGGTTCCCTCATAATTGTTGGGGAAATCACATAACTGTATTTTTCGAGTTTAAATAAATGTTTTATCAGCATTTCCATCACGTCTGTTGTGTTGATATTAGTCATGTTGGTGGTCAAGCTGAAGTAGTGCGGCAGTGTTCTATACGTGCGCAGTGAAGCGCAATGAAAACAAACGCATTTTTAATCCAAAAATTTCCAATTGCCTGTGTGGAAAATTCGAAAGTCAGCGTCAAAATCCATGGAGTTGTTGTTATGATCCGCCATCATTGTGGTCAAACGGAAGTAGTTCTCACAATAAGATTTGTTAATGCGCGGTGAAGCGGCCTTACAATCAGATGAGCGTCAATCCACAATTGATGCCGTCTGATTTTTCTGAACAACCAATCAGAATCTAGTATTTTCTTGATTCATGGTAGAATGATGTCTTTCAGTGGCATTTAGAAGTTGTACATTGATGTCCAAGATATTTTTTGTGGATTAAACTTCTTTTTTAATTTCTCTCACAACGTTTCGAGACCATTCCAGGTCCCTTCATCAGTGTTCACCTAATGAAGGGACCTGGAATGGTCTCGAAACGTGAGAGAAATTAAAAAAGAAGTTTAATCCATAAAAAATATCTTGGACAATACAATGGTGTTTGCGATGTTTGAATGTATTAATACGCAGCGAATTTCCGGGAATCGAATACCATTTGATCATGTTTTTCAACCAATCAGATTAAAGAACACAGTGACTTTTGGTTTACAATGACGTTTAACAATGGAAAGCGCACAACGCCATTCGGTCACGGCGCTGCGTCAGTTACGTCACGCCACGAGCGAACGCTATAACCACAAGGCTACCCCACCGCCCCATTTACATGAGAAATGAAGACATAACATTACATACCAACTAGCCTTAGCCCTTCATTCCACATTTGGGTAATTTGGTAAATAACGCAAAACCGTGAGAGAGACACAGAGAGAGAGACAGACAGACAGACAGAGACAGAGACAGACAGACAGAGAGAGAGGGTGGGGACTGGGGGCTGGGGCTGGGTGGGTGCGGGGATGCGCAACCCCCTTTTGTCTTGAAAGTTTAATAAATGACCATTGAAACTCGGATGAAAATGAAGTGTGCACAACCCCATCCCCCTCTTTCTCAATAGTGCCCACCCCCGTTTCTAAAAAGCTGTATCCGCCCCTGTGTTCCCCGCCGTGATATTGTTGGAATGTTGCTATAAGCGGTGTAAAACCAAACTCACTCACCCACCCATAACTACCGACTTTCCACTATCCGTCAATCTCTTACACGTTCCACGCAAACAGGGGAAATAATAGATTCCGTGAAGCGTAGCACCAGCTTGCTCATCCTGAGGCAATATTGCCCGGAGGTGCACTGTTCGAACTACGCTTGGAGAACCCTTGCTTGATAAGTATGTAGCCAGTGTTTACTAGTGGCAAATATATACTTATGGGAAGCATAAAAGATTGTTTGAATAGAATAGAAAAGCGTTTGTAATGACTTGTATGTTTGTAAGGTATGCAACTTGAAGTATGTGTCACTGGGAATGAATGTTGATATAGATTGTTGATTAAGTGGTACCCGATAATGGCCTGACATTGGGTGTGGATGCCGGAGGTCCTTTGGTCCGCGAACGCTTTAACCATTAGGTTACCCCACCGCCCCGACGCGATAAAGAACCAGGGTCCCGATTCGCAAAGCGTTCCTAGCGCTACGACATCCGTAAGCCTATGGTAAACTGTCGAGTTAGGACACGTCGTAACTTTACGAATGCTTTGCGGATCGAGACCATGGTCACATACCGCATCAAAGTCATCTGTCATCCTGTGTAGGATGGAGTGTTTGGTCGGCGGTTCGATTCCCATTCCAGTCACAACGTTAAAAGATGGTATTTGTTGTTCCCCTGGCTGGAGCTGTACTTATGGGATGGTCACAATGGTGTTTCAATAGAAGGGTTACAGCGGAATTTGGAGATACTGCTAATACTGCTGATTGAGTCACCCGGTTGTGTGAGCGGCGCTCACACTATCGACCACTGGTATGTCTGGTCCAGGGTTATTAACACCATTCGAGTCCTCTTAATATAATTGCAAACCAGTGAAGATCCGGGTTAGAATTGTTTTTCAACAACCCATGCTTGTCGTAAGAGGCGACTAACAGGATCGGGTGGTCAGGCTCGCTGACTTGGTTGACACATGTCATCGTATCCCAGTTGCGTAGATCGATGCTGATGCTGTTGATCACTGTATTGTCTGGTCCAGACTCGATTATTTACAGACCGCCGCCATACAGCTGGAATATTGCTGAGTGCGGCGTTTAACAACAAGCAAAACGTGCATAACTGCATTCAATGAGTACAATGACCACACTTGCTACCACTTCGTCATACAGTTTACAGATCTTGGACGGCTTTAAACTTGACTTCCTGGCCTTACTGGCACCACCAAAACCAATTTCCTGAATTTGGCATAAACAGGTCTGTGAACTCAGTCGCTTTGGTTTCCAGCTCATACCATGAATCCATTAAAAGCCGCGATAATCCGATACTACCTATATCAAATTTCGTTTATGGAGGAAACATATCATGTAAGGGTCAAATTTCAGACGTAAAAATCGAATTCAAGAAAATTAAAAAAAAGATAAAAGACACATCTCAAACTTACCCCTTTTAACCTCTGCCACAGTCCTTTGAAAGTCCTCGTTTTTCATCAGCGTTCTGATTTTATCATACAACTGCGACGTCCCTGACACCTGCGGGAGGGTCAGGGAGGCAAGGAGGATGGAGAGCAACATCATCATCACGGTTCCAGCCATCACGTACAGATACCGACTCGCGACTGGGGTCCACGACAACCTGTTGCACGCTGCCGGGTCTACTTATGAATATGCATAACATTCGGTGTCATGGCAACCGCGCTGAAGAGCTGAACGGGTAAAGGCTGCGCAAACAGAATACCCTTTTCATATAAAGTTATGTGTTCATACTTGTTATGTGAGTGGTGTTTGACATATTGCATGAGGCAGAAAAATATGTGGGTGTATTGACTTTGGACGATATATGATAACTCTGGTATGTCTCGTTTATGTAATTTGGATTTAATATCAGTGGTGGTTTCAGCGACCGAGTAGGTCGAAATCCTCTCTCAGAGGTGATAGTGTTTTTGTAGATACCCAGTGTACATGTTATTCGGGCAAGTGAGTGTGATCTTCTAGTTAGCAACGATTATTTGCTAAACTGCTTAGGTAAACTCTGTCTTATTTCCTCGGGGATGGGTTAGCCTAATGATTAAAGCGCCCGCTCGTCACGCCGAAGACCCGGGTTCGATTCCCCACATGGACACAATGTGTGAAGCCCATTTCTGGTGTCCCCCACCGTGATATTGCTGGAATATTGCTACAAACACTCACTCACTCTTACTTGTCTTAGTCGTTAACATATTTCTTAACGCTGTATCTTATATCAAGTCACTGGACTCTCTACAGTGGTCGTGTGCTAGTGTAATGGTAAAAGTGTTCGCTCATCACGCTAAGGACCCGGGTTCGATTCTCAACGAATACAGCATCTGAAATATTACTGGAATATAACAGAGGCGTAAAGGGGCGGTGGGGTAGCCCAGTGGTTAAATCGTTCGCTCGTCGCGCCGAAGACCCGGGGTCGATTCCCCACATGGGCACAAAGTGGTAAGCCCATTTCTGGTGTCCCCCGCCGTGACTTTGCTTGAACATTGCTAAAAACGGCGTGTAAGTAAACTCACTCACTCAGGCGCAAAGCCATACTCAATCACCACGGTGGCTGTGTGAGAAAAGCAATACATTGTACAAGTATGATGTATAATTTTATAATCAGCGAATTCCTTTTCAAGCCTTACTGCATAGCTTTTGTCAGTGTTCAAGGCCAGGCAAACAAAAACGTGGTCAAGTCAATATAAACTCATCAATGAAAGGGAACGGTGACGTTGCTCCGGTTATTCGAGGTAAAAAAAGATGTTATCAAAGTTTGAAAGATTTTATGTTGCTTTAAAGGAGTGAGTTTGGACAAATATTCAATAGTCAATATTTGTAGTTCGATTATTTCGGTATTTGTTTGCTTTACCTTGTGGAATGTGAGTGAGTGAGTTTAGTTTTACGCCGCTTTCAGCAAAATTGCAACAATATCATGGCGCGGGACACCAGAAATGAGCTTCACACATTGTGCCCATGTGGGGAATCGAACCCGGGTCTTCGGCTTTACCCAGAGTGTTAGAAGAGCTGTGCCCCTTGTGGAGAGCCCGGACACACACCCGATCTCTGTCAAAAGATCAGGAGGTACCTAACGAAGCTTACCGAGAACAGTAGACACCCTCACCACAGTGTAAGTGTCGTTTAAGATATTTGTGCTAAGGAAGGACACCCCCTGACAAGGTGTTGAACAGTTACAGCTAATACAATGCACATTGCACACAGTCCCCATTTCATGTTGACAATCTCTTCAGACTCCCAGTTTGGCGATTACGGAATTGACTGGTCCTGAACAGCAAAGCAAAAACCCTCTGTTTCACTTAAAGGGCCAGTTCCCTGACAGGGGCATCTGCAACCGCATTCTGCCGGCGATATCTCTCCCAGAGCCGTGAAATGGTGCTTTGGTGAACATTCATGCGTCGGGCAACTGCACGTTGAGACTGGCCAGCTTCTAGCAAACCAATGGCGATATGACGGTTGGCTTCACTTTGACGTGGCATTTTGCGTTCGTCAAAAATATTGCAAATACAGTGAATAATCGACAGACAGCGATCAACCTTTTATACCCATCATTGAGACTATCTGATCCCCAACTTTCACGTGCATTGCATGTGAATTGTGTATTCTGTGTCACTACACGCCGAAATTGAAAATCATGCTGTTAAATACGGGTATTTTACGGATGGTGAGTTTTGTTGTGATGTTTCAATACATAAACACCTTAGAACTCATAACAGAGCAAAACCTTTTGTAAAATGAATCACGTTTTAATTCATTGCTACATGAAATTGCTATTTTCATGATGCGTTTCTTTTTTTGGAGAGTATATATACGATTAAGAGAGGACAGAGAGTGGTGGGCTCTGTTGTCAGATATGCTCCGTCTACTGAGGCGGCCAAGACTCTCAATGTCTTGTCCAGTCACCTTCCCCAAAGGAATAAGAAATGACTGGCACAGCAAAAGTATTTGTAGCTCTTTACATGTTTCGGGCTTTAGCTCTGAGCGCCAGATTTTCTTCAAGCGAAATTTATACTAAGCATTGCAATTATGTTTACTGTAGCTTGTCTCGAGCTTTCATTCCAACGTTGGTTGTGTGTTGATTAGCGCCGCACTCAGCAATTTCCTGCTATATGGCGGGGGTCTGTAAATAATCGAGTATGGACCAGACAATCCAGTGAGCAACACCATGAGCATCAATCTACGCAATTGGGAACCGATGAAATGTGGGTTGCTGAAGACCAATTCTAACCCGGATCTTCACGGGTCTCCATGATATGTGCAGGTCTGATCTCTTACAAGATGCTCAGCTTTCGCTCGTCACTCCGAAGGCCCGGGTTCGATTCGAAGCCCATTTTTTGGTGTCCCCCGCCGTGATATTGTTGGAATATTGCTAAAAGCGGCGTAAAACTAAACTCACTCAAAGATGCTCAATGCTACCCCCTCTTGTGACTTGACCGATCCAGTCATTACCTGGTGAGTATTGCATTTGACGAATCCAACTATCAAACCTATATCACTAGAAAAGGATTCGACAAGGAGACCTGGGATTGTCATAACTATCCCTGAGGCAATCTAAATAGGTGTGACATTGCTAATCCCGTCAGTTCTACTAAAAAGAGAATACTTGTGCATATATTCCCCGAAAGTACTTCACATAAAGAGATATACACTTGCACATACAATATCTCTTTGGAATCCAGGCTCACCACAACGTAAACGCATGGTGTAAAGAGTGGTCGGACGGGTTTCCATCTGATACAGCTCCTTCAGATACATCCCATGATGTATCTGGCCACATGAATACGTGCAAACACCTAGTTGCGGGTACAGCAACGTGCAGTAAACTTGGATAAAATACCGTGACTACGTGTCCCAGTCCACCCAGCTGTGAATGGGTACCTCGTAAGGATGGGAAAGCCACATTAACTCGTTCGCCTAGTGGCTGCAAGAGTTGTATGAACCCCAGGGAGTTGAGATGGACAGTACATTGTGCCGTTTAAGACTGACATCCAATGATCGAGGAAAAAACAAAGCGCCTTTGAGCAGGTGATCTGTATATTGGCGATATAGCCTATCTGTTGCCAAAGTGTCAGTCTGACTTCACCGCCTTCCCCTGGTAGTGTCTGTCGGATTCTGTTTAAACTGTTTGCTCTGCCTTACATGGTTGCATTGCGAGAATAAAACCACCCATGCTTTGTACGCCACTACGACCCATGTTGTTTTAACAGTGTCAGATGTGTTCGACGCCTTGACCCAGAAATACATTTACTATATTTAAAAATATATATCTACAAACAAAACCCATAATGGAGCCTCAATTACAGCCTAGAGCTGAGGCAATGTGGACCAATCTAGACTTGAGTTGGACTCCTATCTAATCTATTTTCTGAGGTCAAGGAGACAGATTACCGAGGTCCCTGCACTACTACCAACAATACTGAGTGTCTGACCCGTGAAGATCCGGGTTTGAATTGGTCTTCAGTACTTGTCGTAAGAGGCGACCAACCGGATCGGGTGGTCAGGCTCGCTGACATGGGGGACACATGTCATCGCATCCCAAATTGCGTAGATTAATGCTCATATTGTTGATCACTGGATTGTCTGGTCCAGACTCGATTATTTACAGAGCGCCGCCACTTTTACTCGAGAATTTGCATTTGGACACCCTAAGAACTATTTGTGGGGCAGTTCGTGGTACTAGCCATGCCACTAGGGCTTCAAAGAGTCCATTTTCTTGGACTCGAGTACTCGAAGGGTGAGACTCGACTCGGACCCGAGTACTCGAAATTCATACCTTTCAAACAAACGATAGCGTAACCGGCATGACATGTGTTCCGATCACACAAGTGAACAATTACTTCATTCCGACTTCATATCGTCATGTGACTAACATTTCCTATTGGTCAGAATCCGTATTTGGATGTTTACTTGCCAAATGTGTTTTTTTCATCGTACTGTTTGTACTGCCTGCATAACACAGTGATATACCGCACAGGCGGCATTTGGTTATTTTTCTCTTTTCACTATCCAGATCAAGACACGCCCATACATTTGTTTTTTGTATCGTTCTCCATGTCTGTTAAGATAGTTACCTAATCATTTTAAGAAGTGAAATCTCAAACGATGTATAATATTTACTCTCATCTGCAGACTTGTAACAACTAATACCATACAGCCACACCTTATGAGGAGTAAACTTTTTAATCTAGGCGTTAATAAAAACATTATCAGATGGGTTAAAGAATTCAGGGTACATAGAACTCAGTATGTCAGTGTCAATGGCTATCAATCTTCTTTCCTCTCAACCTCTACTGGAGCTCCACAGGACTGTTCTTTCATCCGCACTCTTCGTTTTGTATACCAATGACTGTTACTTGTCATTAAATGACTTGTTTACTGTGAAATTCGCAGATGACGCCACTGTTACTGGCCTAATTTCTGATTCTGAACCTTATTATCGTCAAGGCATTGACAAAACCGTAATGACAGTTTTTATCAAACCTTTATTCAAAGTGTGTTGACCTACAATTTTCTATGTTGGTATGGGGCCTGTCTGATCGCAACAAAAACAAACTTTTCAAAATTGTTAATACTGCCGACAAAATTTCGAGTATATTCCCTTTATCTATGAGCGCCAGATTGTCAAAGAGGCAACTAAAATTAGATTTGATAGTTAACATATTTTATCTCACCATTTTGAAGTACTTCTTTCTGGACG